ACACCGTGTTTACCCATGATGCACTTAAGAAGTAGTATTTATCTAGCCGCAAATATGCACTTCTTGAGGTTGGCGTACAACTTATGCTTACGCATAAGTTGAAGAAATTGACAAACGTGAGTTCTGTGAACTTCAACGTCCGTCTTTCCGTCCATATCCCGGATATGGGCGAACACATCGTCAAAACAACTCGGTGCCAAGTCTCGAAACGGTCTCAACAGATTTGTAACACATCTGTTGAAAGTAGCAGGGGCATTGATCAGCCCCTGTTGCATCACTATCCACTCCCACAGCATACCGCTGGGGGTGCTCACTGCCGTGTACGGGATGTCCCGTTCACGCATGAGGATCTGATAGAATCCCCCCATCAGATCCATGGACGAAAATATGGTACTCTTTGACATACCATCTATGATTACGTCCTCCCTCGGTATCGGCGTCTGAGCCGGTAAGGCTGCAGCATTCAACTTGTTAAATGCGTGCACTATCCGCCATTCTCATTTGGCCTTTAGCACACAAAAGGTCGGAGAGCTGTATGGGGATGTTGATTCCATCACATGTCCCACTGATAAGCGATCGGCAAAGGCCTTGTCGATCGCTAGTACTTGTTCACGAGGCAATGGCCACTGCTTCATGACACAGTACTTCGAGCCCGGTTTGATCTCGATCTCGTGTCGAGTGCCTTTGTCCTTAGGCAACTCGCAAGGCACAAATTCAGGGAACACATCCCTGAATTCGGTCAAATCCATATACAAAGGATTTGCCTGAAGTGACTCCCAGGATTGAGACGTGTATCGCTCAATCCGAGTCTTCCCATCGAGGACACTTTCGTCCATCGATGAGCTGCTTAGAACCCGTTCGTTCTCGGCAAATACTGTCGCCGACCAAATATCGGCCACATACTCATCCTCTGTGACGATTATGCAGATCTGCTTGACTTTGCCACTACGCAGATCACGCAAGAACCGTTTCGGTTCTAGCGTTGGCAACTGAGTTATCTCCGAAGTTAACTTCGGAGAAACAATCAGATCAGGCGTATAAGCGCCTACGCTTGATCCTTCATTAACCAAGACGTTCAACGTCTCGGTTACTTCCTGGGAACTTCTTTCCACAGGTTGCTAAGGGCCTGATCCCTCAGCAAGTGACTCTTGAGGAATTCCTTCCTCAAGTGCGTGGGGACTTATTCCCTCGACGTCTTCTGATTGTGGCTGTGCAACCACAGTCAGGGACCGATCCTCGACGGCCGACTCTCCAGTCGACCTAGGATATCCGTGTTGCCGCTTGTGGTCAACCAGTTTACTCTTTATGGGATGTCGCCCGCTAGGTGTACATTCACATCCCAGTCCACTCGACTTCTTCGAGTGGTGGACCTTCGGCGCAGCCTGTACTTCTGTACAGCCGCCGGGAGCTTGCTCCACAGTGTAGTGATCAACTACAAAGTTGTTCGACGCCCCACAGTCTACTAGGGCACGAAGCGACAAATCATTTGTCGCTTCCAACTTCAAGGTGATTAGCGAAACGTCATCACCCGGTGCAGAGACACACAATGATTGTGTGTCTGGAGCAACTTTCGTCAAGAGATTTGCAAATTCTCTTGAGGTTGCTGGATCAGTAGGGCGCTCCGTCCCTACTGACCCCGACCATTTTTTGATGGTCCGTTTCGCTGTTGCGGCTTAGCAACAGCGCTGGACCCACGCCCCTTTCCCTTCTTGGCGAATGGTCGTTCATTTCGCTCAGAACTGCTTGGTACTGGGCGTGGAGCACTACACTCATGTGCGAAGTGCCCTAACTTCGGACAGCAATTGCACTTCAGCAATCGCTTGTTGTTTGAAGAGCGAGGTCTCTCACTCTCAACATAGCAGAGGTCCATTGGTTCTGAACCTCCGATCTCTTGTCGTCTCGGTGGACGATAAGAGTTTGAGCTATCATGATCCTGTCTCATGCTAAAGTCTTCCTGTTCCGCGGCTGATATCGCATCTTCCAGCGTATTTAGCTCAAGGCGGAACAGGCGGCTCCTGACGTTCCCTTCTTCAAGCCCTTGCATGAACACCGTAATCAACGTGTGTTCATGAACTGGGTTAGCAGTTATACTACTCGCGAGGAGTCGTATTTGTTGAGCGTAAGCGTGCACATCACGCTTACCCTACTTGAGTTTCAGGAGCTCAGAACGAGCCCTGAACTCAGCCCGTGGCGGCTCAAACGTTTGTCTGAGCCGGACCTTAAAGTCATCTAGCAACCTAAACACATTTGGGTCGCTACTCTCGAGTCCCAGGGACCAAGTTTTGGCACGTCCTGCCAAGTGGGTTTGAGCAAATGTGAGTTTCATTTGCTCATCTTCGACGCGACGAACTCCTAGGGCTCTGTCGAGTTCGACAAACCACAGTAACAGGGAGTCCTCCGGGACTCCACTGTACTTGGAGATGTCAACTTTTATGACTTCGGGACGACGCGCATGTGCCGTCCCGCCCACAACAGCATGGAATTGCTGCTGTCTCAACAGCTCTGTCTGTTGAGCACCGAGTTCTCTCAACTGCTCGTCCTGTTGAGAGCCTTGCTGGTGAAGCAAGGCTACTTTCTCCCTTTCGGCGACAAGTTCACTTTGGATGAACTTGGCTATAGCGGCATGTTGTTGGTCTCTGTCTAGAGACTCCAATATGGCGCTAATGGCGAACTCGCCTACGGTAGAACTCATTCGTTCTACCGCACTCCATTCGATGTCACTCAAATGGTTAAATCCTTCACGCGTGGCTTGAAAGGTTTCTTCGTCATCCAACATGTTCATGTTGGATGCTGTGGTCCTTGAAAGGACTACAAAGTGCTACCAGGTGTAACGGGGCACACCCTTGCGTGAACTTAACGCAAGGGTTTGGGTGCCCCGACAGACGTACACGAGGCAAACGAGGAAGCGTAGGTAAGGGAAACGTAAAACCGTTGTATTAATATAACTAAGTCTTTAAACACTGCCTCTCTGTTTAACCTGACTTAATTATGTTAATATAACTGAGTGTATGGTGACGTCTCGTCACCACTCATTGCGCGCGTCAGGCGGCGATTGGCGGGTTGATATCATCAAGCTATCAACCAATGAGCAGACTCTTTGGTCGCTTCACCAATATTACCATTATCGGTGATAATGTTCAAAGAATATTCACTTAAATTCTTTGTTGTCACTTTCTTTAAAGTGACAATTTCCATGCAACGGGCTGCCCCGTTACACGGTATCCAGTAAAGTGCTAGCCGACCCTTTCACCTGAATGGTGAGCTATACAAAGTGTGTCCGTGTATTTATGCACGGTGATTAGGATCCCGGTATACGATGTAGACTCACCCTGGTCACATATACCTCCTTCAACCAAGTTGGTGACCACCGACAAGAAATTGATGTGTATAGACGTTCGTTAGCGTAGCACACTTATTATCAACGGCTGAAATAGTCGTGCATGCCGCAGAGTATTTAGCAACTAGGCACACTTTGCTCTTGACGAAACCTTCGACGTCGTGAGAAGCCGTCTACACAAGTGTCACAACACTTTTACGCTTGTACACTTCGTTCTTGTAGGTAAGCACGGAGTTCCATTGACACCGTAATGGTACCAGGATTTTTGCGCGCTGACGATCCGACAGACGAGGTCAATTGAAGGGAGAATCTGTCTAGTCTTATGTCTTACGTAACGAATGAGCCTATCATTGTTGATTAACCGGGATCAAGACCAGCTAGAGATCTGCGCGAATCGTTGACACTAGTTGCCCCTTTCAACCATACGCCTTCGAGCTATTGCACATAGAGAAAAACGGGTGTGTTTGTAATCGATCAATAAAGTTTCACGATAGTTTTTGCTAAATTCATGAATGCAAAAGCAGCATGTCATTGTGGCAGCAGAGTATTTTATAGAGGATCAAATGACAGTCGATGCTTCTTCAAGCTTTTTGTCGTCCTGGTCACTCCCATTCGTCGTACGTCGTATGTGACGGGGCACGCCTTGTGTCAATTCAACACAAGGCTGTGTGCACCCGACGTCACGTACACGTGGCGTGAGGGTGCGCAGCGAAGTAGGCAGAACTCGAAAGCTTAGTCTAAGGGAAAGGTAGAACTGTATTTAATGTAGGTATGTTTTAAGAAACCATCTTTTGTCTTGAGCTAACTAAATTAAACTACAATCTCCTATGTGGGTTTCTTGCTCGCCACCGATTGCGCGTCCAGCAACGATTTGTGGTCAATTGGATTGATGTACCGTGAACATCAACCATCAGGTGGAGCAACCCATCAAAGAAATATTACCCTTGAGGGTAATAGTCCTTCAACTTTACTCCTTATGAGTAATGTTAATTGAACATTATCTGAATAGATAATGCTCAAAATTGATACGAAAATATCATTTTTTATGTAAAGGGGCTCACCCCGTTACATCGTAGCTCATCTACACGGCCATCCGACAGTATATGTGCGTTGCATTACCGTAACGTCAGTAACTACATGCACACCCCTTCGGGGAATACCCGAGGAGGATCACTTGGCACTTTTCCTCGTATTGCGAAAGCAAATTGGTTTGAAGCTTCGCTTGCGCAACATAGCGATTGATAAAGGGTGGCTGACACGAACCAAGACATGTCGCTAAATGGGTTATGTTGATCTTGCTCGAACCGTACATGCTGCTTGTGTGACGGCGGGTGCTGCAGACGCGAGCCTGAACTGACTGCTCATTGGCTACTCTATGTATGACGTGCATCAGATCTTCCACCTCATCTACCTATCGCCGTATGAGGTTTTTGGTCTAGGAGCGTAATAGGCCACAAACGCAGCAGGCAGACAGAATTGTGATAGGACCAGAACAATTTTGCCGTCCCACCAGTGAATGCGTCGGCCTGGAAGATCTTCTTGCGAGTGACGCTCTCCAGCAATTTACCTTTATCTCTACACCAGGGCACGCGCGCCGCGTCATCACCGTCCCATGTGTTCAATGCGTCGTATTCTCGTCCTGCTACTCGCCGTGGTCGTCCAGATGACACTGGCGAAATATGTTGCGGACGCCAAGGACGTGCCAGAGACCGTTCCGAAAGAACATAAGACCCATCAGTATCTCAGGGATAACAACGTCACCCTTAGCAATCAGCACACCAAGATTCTCACCGCGGATGAAGAACGGGTGTCCATGGCTGGCCTCAATAAGGTGAAGACATTCTTTCAGAAAAGTGCAAGTGCGAAGCAAGTGGAATCGCTGATCCAGGGAACTCGCGGTCTCGAAAAGAATGCGGCAACGGTCCAGGCCATTCCGACCGCTACCAAGAAGAGCCTCTCTCAATTCTTTGCTGAAAACCCTGCTATCAAAAAGGAGCTCATCGTAGCGGCAACGCTCTTGACATTGATCGCTGCGGTACCAATGATTGTAAAGTCGTTTTACCCAGCTAAATAATAACATCGACGAATCATGTTCTCGCCGTTTCTTTTGCCGCCAAATAGCAACTGTCTTATACCCCATCACTTCAGGCCCCTTCAACGTGTCGATTGCAGCGCTTGCGTTCTACATCAACGTGTCTGAGAACACAAGATAAAAGAGCAAGATCTGGAGCTTTCCTCATACTATCAGCAATGCAGTCGAGAGGACTACAATCGAATTTCTCATTGATCTCGTACCCACTTAGGAAGGTTGAGGTTGGTTGAGGTTATTGGTGGGGGATGGGCGTTGAGAGAAGCACTTACCATAGGGCTGTCGGGACTGTCAACGCGTTGGCGTTGCTGATGCGTTGAAGAGATGTTTCAAGAAAGAGAGATGACGGCTGGTCTCGCCTGTGCGACGACAACAGCAGAGTGCGACTGGCGACATGGAGCTAGATGGTAAGGAAGGGACACTTTGGGGGCTCCCTATGCCACCGAGCAGAGAGGGCAGCCGTCAACTTCTACATTTTTCGCTTTTTCAGGTACCTCATAAGTGCCGTACGACGAGTCTACACGGCACACACATACATGCATACATGCATATGCATGCACACACAGAAAGTAGCCACCGAGAAGCTTGGTCTACGCCTGATGATGCACACACGATAATATCTTCGCGATTCTTTTCGCAATTATGTCCACCACATTAGAAACGCAAGAAGACCAATGGGGGAGAATCTCGGACAAGTCGCCCCATGATGTGTCTCTACACAACGAAAGCACGTAGGCGGGTTAACGTGGGGTCGTCAAGAACGTCATTATCATTTCGTTTCGATGGAGCACGACGCACCGATATAAGTCCACGCGTCGGATGCACTTTGATTTTGCCTGAACTAGGGACTGTAGCTGCTGGGCCTGTCTTTGTCTGTCAAGTCAAGGTCGAGCCGAGCGTGACGACAATGCTTCAATCAGCTGCTTATTTAGGCGCTCGGATTTGGCCTCTTGCTGATTCGAATGGCTGACATGTTTGGCTTGAGAGTTAACGGTGACACAGATACTACGCTCGATATTCGCCGTGGGCGCATTCCGAGATTCAGTCTGCTCATTGCGTCAGATACAGACGGAACCTGCGATAATGCGAGCTGATGCAGGATTTGGCGGAGCTTGTGTTTGCGGCAAAGGCTGTGCCACCACATTCTGCTCCGCTCACTTATGTACTGTATCAAGCGAGCGTATCAGCTAAATTAAGCCATAGACGTGTCTTTTTTTCCTGCCCAGCGCCCACGGTAGTCGTGGCCTTTCCTCATTAAGGTGTCTCAGCGCATTGACAACCACGCTACGAGCGCATCGTCGAGTAGCAGCAGCTCACTGTCGATTTCCCACCTCACAAAGGCCTTATGGGCAGTATGCGGCATCTCGTGTTTTGTTCGCTCGGGTCCCTACGCCTCGTGCAGGCCTTGCGAAGTGCCGTCACGTGCACTACCACAGCAGACTGCGCATGGGGCGAAACGTGCGTTGCCGGCGATTCGGACTCAGTCGTCCAAGCATGTGTACCGTCGACAGTGTGTGGCGGCTCCTCGGCGGGCAATTGTCCGTCGGATGCGAGTGGCAAACTTGCGTGTCTCTGGCGACCGGTCGACGACTGCAAAGAAGGCTGCGCGATGTTGGACGGGAACAAGGGCGTGTACAAGTGCGTGTCGCTCGCACGGTGTGACAAGTACTATGGAGGCACTGCGTGCAGTAGTAAGTTGTTGTTTGAGACCCTATTTGTTTAATGGAAGCACACACGAGTCTCACTGATGCATCTCTCTGATCCAGATGGGTGCAACGTGAACGGAATGCAATGCAATGGACAGGGCCCGTGTGCTATGGTATCGTCGAACCCGGACGGCACGCCCAGATTCAGCTGCACATGCGGGGACGGCTACAGTGGGGACAAGTGCGAGATTGTCTCGACGAGTACGGCGCGGACGAAAGATCTGTCATTCACCGCCATCGCCGATAAGAGATTGATGGGTGATGACAACTACCATTCAGATGCGCGAACGAACTTCATAAGCGACGACGTCACCGATCGAGCCGATAAGTTTCCTACAGACCCCTCGACTCGTGGATCGATGAAGACGTCATCCCGTCCAGTCGGCGATTTAGCTGACACTTCGTCCAGTGAAACCTCGAACGATTCACCACTGTCCACGGTTGACCAGGACATGGACGAGTCGACGGGCTTGTCCGACTCCAATGACGTTTCCTCGAATATGAGCCCTCCGGCAGCTCCCAGCAGTGAGCCACGTGTCGGCGCTCACGGTAGTGGCATTCATTCGGGCGTGCTCATCCTCGTGCTCGTGATGGCCATCGTGTTTGTGCTCGGCGCAGTAATACTGGCCGTGCACTTGTGCAAGAAGAAGCGACAAGAACACGAGGAGGAGGACGCGTATGCGTTCGAGAGAGCCAGTTCGACAAGTCTGCCGGAAGCCGAACGGCGCGTGGACCTGACGTCCAGATCACGCATCGTTTTAGTGTAAATTATGATGTGGTGACGATGCGATAGAAACACGTTAGAAACGACGAGAGCTTTTGTCACGAGGGATCGAGCGAGACGTGACACCATTGAGTCAACGGTCGTCGCAAAAGTCAATCGGAGTGATGCTTTGCCTCGAACTGATTGACGTCTCCACTCTCACCCACCCACAAACCCACAAACCCACCTACCGACGCACAAGCTGTTTTGATGGACTGAGAAAAATACCAGCAGCTATTTTGCTGTGCGCATATAGAGCCAGCCGTCCTAACTCGTCCTTTTGAGCGCACTCCATAGTCCAACGAGGACGAACCGAGCGAGCGGTTCGTTTCGACGTGTCCGACCTTCGGGTACGTCTTTATCAAGAAACGGTCCGTCGACTCGTCCTGGCAGTTATACCGCACCACGAGCGCAGACGGTGGAAAACAAAATGAAAACATTCTGGTGCGACGGCGCGCGATGAACGATGTGATGTGAGTAGCGCAGAGTTCAGCGCGCCTTCCAACCCGATGTGCGAAAAAAGTTGAGCAACTGACTACTCGTTGTATTGAGTTTACCGGGAGACATGCAGCACGGGCGCTTTCGGAATTCCAGCTGCTGCGGCTCGTCGCTGTTCTGCGCGCCTGCTCTGTTGTCGCGAGCAGCTGCTCGTCCGTTTATATCGATCGGCCTTGTCCCGACGACCCGGTGAAGTCGACGCGCAGTTTGGAAAAGCGCACGTGGCATACAAATTCCATGTGGAGTATCAAACTGACACGTGACGACTCGCACATGCACTTGAGCATGCGAGTCTTGGGGCTGCTGCTTCTGTTGACCCTGCAGTCGGCAGCGACGGCCACGAACTCGGCGGCGATTGACTGCGTGACCAATCAGGACTGCAGCGATGGCGAGACGTGCGTGGCGGGCGACTCGGCGACACCTGTCCAGTCGTGCGTGGCAGGCGCCGTGTGCGGCGGTTCGACGTCTGGAAACTGTCCTGGCAACGCTGAGAGTGGGCAATTGGCCTGCCTGTTGCATGAGGGCATTTACAAGTGCTTGTCCATTGATCGATGCGACGAGTACTTTGGGGGCTCTGTATGCAGTGGTGAGATAGCCGTTCGAGAGAGAGAGAGAGGGAGAGGGAGCATTGCAACGATAGACTGACGACGTTTGTGTGTGTGTGTTGATTGCTGGCAGCCGGTTGCAAGGTGAATGGAGAGCAGTGCAGTGGACACGGATCGTGCAGTTTGCTGTCAATGACTTCGGATGCGACGCCGCATTTTGGCTGCACGTGTCTAGACGGCTATAGCGGCGACAAGTGCGAGTCTGGATGGAGTGAAGGCTCGAGCGCGACGTCAGGCTCGATTTCCCGGGATTCTAGCGGCGCTAGCAGCACGTCGGGTTCTTTTTCCAAGGGATCTGGCAGCTCCATCAGCACGTCTGACTCTTTTTCCAGGGATTCTAGCGGCTCTATCAGCACGTCTGACTCTTTTTCCAGGGATTCTAGCAATTCTGCCAGCGCGTCTGACTCTTTTTTGAAGGATTCGAGCTCGTCGATGAGCTCCTCTGCCAGCACGTCTGCGAGTACCTCCAGCGCTGGCAGTATGGCAAACTTGACATCAGGTTCGATGAGTGGCGAATCATCCAGTCATTCGTCGTCTGCAACCGGCTCACAAAAGGATCCTTTGTTGCCGCGGACTGCTGTATCGGCTGAAGACACTGGCGAGAAGGCGACACCACATTCGGCCAACAGCGGATCGACAGCGTCCGAAACGGATTCAGGTGGCACAAGTTCTGCGGTGTTTATCATTATCGGCATACTAGCGGCCTGTACGATTGTCGGGGCGCTCATGTTCGCTTTGTTTTCACGAAAGAAGAAACGGGAACAAGAAGCAGAAGCTGGTGGCTTTGGGGCGTCTGCTGCAAGCAACGGAACACCAGCAGCTTTGACTAGCTCAGGGGCCGATACACCAAAGGGCAATATTGTTGTCATGTAGGTAGATTTACGAACCTGACGGGACCATACGATGTCTCTGGACGGACGTGCTCATAAATTATCGATATGTTATGGTTTGATGCTCCCCGCTTTGCGCATGTACGAGCGCCATGTCATGTAAGCTCCGTCTTCCGCTATGGCGCAACATTGACCAGACTCACATTGATCTGATCTAATCCAGCAACGTCATCGATGTCTCACTACAACAATGTGCCGCGTGCCGTTGTGTCAAGCAAATGAAAGTTGTCGTCATCGTTTGTGCAATATCTCACGAGATGATCTCTGCTGAGTGTATTGTCAACGGACGTCCACCGAGCTCGCTTCACGGTCGCTAAGTTTCGAGGTACCAGTCATAACCGGAACAAGAAGCAATATGACTTAGTAGGCGGGCGGTTTGTTGAACGTGGCTCGTTTTTGGCATAGACAGAGGCGCATCGAACACGATCGTCATTGACGATACAGTTTGTTGGAAAGGAAGGAAACCTACTTGAACCACAAGTTGCATCGACAGAAGCACGCAGCACGTTTGACTGTGCTTTGTCGGTCCGAATGGACGTTCCTGGACGGCCGCTACATTCGAAGTGCCTCACCATCGGTCTCGTTCTCCCTTGATGACGTTTAACCTCTTCCAGACTCCCATCTTCGGTCAGCTTCGGTTGAGCACTCTCATCCTCTTTAGCGTGTCAATGGCTGCATCGATGAGTCTTAGCCCACGTCAAAGGCTGAGATGGACCATTCGATGAGTACAATATCGCTTCAAGGTCGCAACCGGTCGTGGAGAGGCGGCTGATGTGCAGTGAGCTACAAGCTTGACTTTGGAAGCGACATTCGACGGGGTTCCACGCCTGATGATCAAGATACTGCGGCGCATTTGCATCTTGCCGCCTTATAGTACGGGCTACGTTGCGATGTACGAACGATGCCGTGTACATTTGATGACGCTGTGGGCCATGCGCGGGAACAAAAGGCCGCCATAAGCTGTACACCCGTTATCTGCGGTGATGCGCAGCACAGATGGAGCTTCTCATTCGGCCGCACCGCAATGCCATTGAAGACTGCTGCTGGATGAGAGGCACCAACGAGCACTGGTATGCAGAGATTGCAGTCGCATGGACCAAGCGCAACCGTTTGGGTGCGAAGAGCGTTGTTAAGATATGAGTGGAACTGCTGTGAGTCATGATCCAGCGCAACATCGAACTCGACGGTCGAGTTGCCACGTCAACTTTCAGCTCACGCAGCTGTTCATTCTGTGTCCCCTGTGGAAAGTGGTCAGCCGGAGCACAACGTGATGGTCGTCGCAACTTCTCCTGTTCAAACGTGAGTCAGTCAAACGACCAGCAACGGGCACTAAACGACACTGTTGTGTGGTACGAAGACAAACGGTTTGGTGACGTCGATACTACCGAAGTCAAGAGACCTCAAACTTTGCGAGTGCTGAGTCGGCTTTCCAACACGTCACACAGCTGACTACTGGCACCAATGCAGGCGCACCACACTTTATTAGTTCGTCTACGCTGCAGACAGTTGTCGTAGCAATACGAGCAAATCGTTTCTTTGCTTCCTTTGATCCAGTACTGTCGCCTACAGATGATTCAGGCTCTGTTGCCAAGGGTGATGCCAGCTTTGCTAACTTGCTTCTGTGCAACTGTGTTCGTATGCTTCGACATCGTCTATCACTCGTGCTCTTGGCTTGTTTGGCAAGGTCATTCGACTGCAATGTCGTCATCTTTGGAATGCTCAAATGCCAATGTCTACAACATCAGTATTTACACTCGCCGACTCGGCAGATCTCGGTGCTTTTTGCAACTCTGGACGAAAATGAGCGTCTCCGGATAGCCACTACAGACGTTGCAAGCACTTTGTGGCGTCTCGAGCTTATTCCGTGCATGTTCACAGCGTAGCGACATAGTCCGACCGAAGGTGAGAACCAGATCGGCAATCAGCTGTTCATGAGGCATGGCAAATCGATGTGCGCGCCAGAATGGCTGCGGCCCCACCCCACAATTTTTCGAGATCACTTATCGTCGAACCCAGCGCTGCTGCTACATGCATCTGCTTCAACCGAGGGACTCAACTTGCAATCTCTCAACAAGCATACAGCAAGGAATAAACGCACAAATGATATTCAAAAGAGCCAGTCAGGTCCTTGAGCTCGTACGTACTGCCAACAAGCAAATGAGGCCTTTGTCTGCATTGTGATTGTCCTCGACAGAGACAACAACCGATGCGAAGTATCAATAGCATCAAAAAAAGCGCGTGACTTCCTTCGTAGCTCCTCTGACCTTTGCCGGAGGTCACTGGTGACGGACTGAATCGAAGGTAGACGATGGAACGCGGCAGGAAATCAGACACAATAAGTGCCAAAAGCAGCAACTCATTGTGCAAACTCTTGCTGCTCGCTCTGGATTCGTCACGCGTTGATGCGCCATTACTTGTTGCCAGGCGACTTGGAGCGTTTGTTCTTCTTCTTCTTGTGGCAATTGGCAGCGCCATTCGAGAAGCCTTTGGGGTCGCACTCGGGACATAACCATGTGTCTGGGTGGCGACCGTCAGCAAGGCCGACACACTCGAGATGGTACCACTGCGACGGGTTCGGACACGTCTTGCCGTCGCAAGCAATCATATTGCCGTAGCTCGGGAGGTTGCAGATGCAGTAGAGTTCATTGTCTTCGCCCGCGTCTGCGTCCTTCTTGGTCTTCTTCGTCTTGCCGCCCGACGCATTCGAGAGTTTCGAACTGTTCGGAGGCGCTTTGCGGCCTTCGCTTCCATGGCTCCGACTGCTGTGGCTACCGCTCGGCGCCCCACTCGAGTGGCTACTGCCATGTCCGTGATTAGGCGCGTTGCCAGCAGTAGAAATGCTCGCAGTGTGACTCGACCTGTTGTTATTCGCGCTGCGTCCCGACGACATCGACACGGAATGATCGCGTTGGCGCTTGCGACTCGTCGACTTGTGCTTGGCTTTCTCTGCTGTTACCAGTGCCTTCCGCTCCTTCTCACGCACAGCTGAGCGCTTCACTGCCGTCCGCTCACCATTGCGCAGCCGCTGCATGAACGCAACGATCGAGTCGTCTTCCTCCACGTCCAGCGACAGATCAAAGTGACGTGCCACCTGAGCCGCCAGCTCTTCTTTTGTCCAGTCCTCGCTCAGCTTGAGATGGTAGAATTTGCCGTAGCGTTTCAGTGCTTCCACCTGGGGATGATACAATTCAGGCCCGTCAGTCGGCGTGGTATCCGTATAAACACTCGCGAAAAGACCTATCGAAAAGACACGATGCGCAGCCACTCGGTTGCCAGCCAGCCACATGCTGCCACTGAGACAAAAGCGACCAAACGTACCCCCAAGCTCTTGAAGTCCACCATAAGCCGCGGCGGGTACATCACGCACTTGGTCCGCTGCTGCTGCTGCTGCTGCTGGAGATCCATTGCGTCCACCACGTCGTCTTCAAACTCTGCCGCGTCGTCAGAATAGAGCAAACGCGTGTCAGCTGAAGTGAGTTCAGTAGCAACAAAGCAGCAGCACGAGCAGCAGCAGCTTTGTGCTCCTACCGTCGCTATCTCTGCAGTTTTGTAATGTCGCATATCGTACCTCCTTCCATCAGATGCATCTCGTCGGGCTCGTTCTGCAGGTGGTGCAGGTGGACAGACAGACAGACAGACAGATAGACCGATAGGTTAGTGGAGGGAACACATCGATTGATGAACGGACGATCTGCCGTCCCATTGTGTCGATGCAGACGCGAAGGCTCTCACCATTGGATGAGGGACGAAGGAGTGGGTGGGGGCCGAAGAGAGAAGTGCGGAGCTGAGGGCTCGAAGGACCGAATGAAGGAGTGCCGACGAAGCTCTGGTCCCCTGCGCTCGAATAGACAGGGTGGTCTGCTCGTGGTCCGCTGTCGTACACTCTTGGGTCTACTAAGTGGACGCATCTGCGCTGGACGGATAGAAAAACAGCATTCGCGAAGCCAGCGCCAACTGTTTGGTCCCTGCTGTTATGTGTCGGTACGTAATAGCTCAATTTGCTGCACGGTCATTGCAGCGTTCTGAGATTTGCAACGACAGGGCTCCCATTTGCTACCGAAAAGGGATCTCCATCGCGTCATTGTACCGGCGGCAGGACAGACCTTTTTTGTGACAACAACAATATAGGCCAGATTGATACCGATCAATTGGTCCCACAAATGTGGCGTCATATATACCTTTTTTTCCTCACTTGACCATTAGCTCCGCTGCCCCGGCAAACTCGATTAGAAATACGTAATCGAGCAGTTACGGCCAAGATCGCCTCTTGTGACATGGGTAGCGTCAAAAGCCCGCCTTCACCTGCCTTCACGGCCTTTGTCGATGCTTCTGTACGTGCTCAGAGAGATACATCACTGTCCGCTGACGCTCGACTGCTCCTACCTGCGTCTTGTGGCCCCACTTATCTCTGAGAGAAACTGATGCGAATGATTATATATTTTCGATCCAGGCCGGTGCAATGGGTGCACTGTTTGCTGCTGTGCTGTTGTATCCATTGGACGTAGCAAAAACGCGCCGTCAAGTCGACGTGGACGACAGCAACGAGGAAAACGTGGCACTCGATGCAGAAGTCCAAGTCAAAGCTCGTGCTTTGCACAAGAAGAAGGCGCACAATTTGCTCGTGGCCGTGTGGCTCACGTACCGCCGAGAAGGCATCGAGGGAATGTTTGCCGGCCTCAGCTCCAAGGTCGTGCATACGGTATTGTCGAATTTCGTCTATTTCTACTGGTACTCGGTGCTCAAGACAGCGGTGGAAAAGCATTTGAAGACGCCCATAACGACGGGGATGAGTCTGCTCGTTGCATCAACTGCCGGAGCGTTCAACATGTCCATGACACTCCCGTTGGAGATGATCAATACGCGAGCACAGATTCAGCCGAAAGGCACGGACAAAACTCGTGATATCGATGAGGCGAGTGAAGACAAGTTGATGAACAAACAAAGCATGTGGAGTATTGCCAGGGACATATACGCGGAGAATGGCTTGATGTCGTTTTGGAAAGGGTACATCCCATCGCTTGTGCTGGTAAGCAACCCATCCATCAACTACACGATTTTTGATAAGCTCAAGTCGCAGCTGCAGCGTTCCAAGGTGGCAGCAGGCAAGACAAAGCGTGTGGGCTCGTTGACAGCTGCGGAGGCTTTTCTTCTTGCTGCAATCGCTAAGGCTGTGGCCACGATCCTCACATACCCAGTCATTCGCGCCAAGGTGCTACTGCAAGCGCAGAAGGAGCAGACAACTGAACCGCAGAAACAATCACACAGCTATCATCAGGCTGCGATGGGCAACTCCATGGTGCAGGTGCTCAAGCGCATTGGCGAGTTGGAAGGATTCAACGGCTACTACAAGGGCTGTTCAGCACAACTTCTCAACACGGTTCTCAAGAGTGCTTTATTGGTGATGACCAAGGAGGAGATTACCAAGTATACAATGCGCGTGCTCTACCTGCTGCGCCGTGGTGCCGTCCCGTAAGCCGTCGAGGCCACGACAGCGTAGGTGTACTCATTGGTCCTTTTTCGGTGTTATGCGCGTTGCAAATGTACATGTTGCGGGTAAACTACCCAATACATCGGTCTTTCTACGGAGTGGCAATATGTTGTGTGCATTTGACACCTGTTGCAACACGGGAAGACCATCATCATCATCGCATCTCAGTATGCTGGTTGCCAGACAACGCAACATAAGAGTGTCGTTACAGCTCGGGCAAAACGTGTGAACCTGCTACACAAATGCTTATGGCATTGCGCAGGCACTAAAAAGCTTCATTTGTTCATGCATGCCAATGCATTCAGCCGAGGAGTATAGTAGTGTCGACGTACATCCAGTGATGACAACGACATTTATCGGAGCCGGGCGGCTTTTGTGTAGTACTCGTTATGTGTCGAGATGTCAATTTGGCGCGATAGGCGGACCTCATGATATAATCCCACTTTTGTACGGGTCCCCTGAGATCTTCACGAATGATATATAATTGACCTGCGATCTACATGATGCCGTTGCTGCACGTTCTGTGGTAGCAAAGAACGCGCGGGGCATTCAAAGCGTAGTCATGGATACTGTATTGTTATCTGTGCAGCGGCCGTGAATAGCGATAAATGGCACCATCATACCAATGGCATCGTCTTGTCTTGTACGCTCCGAGACCCGTACGCAGGATACTCACCGGACACCCACTGGAGGCCACAAAAGCCATCGTTGTTCATCCGCGAGGTCGACATGGCCCTTAGTTTGGCGATCATGTGTGACGAAACAGCTCCGCATGGCTCCAGTGGTTTCAAACGCGCTAGTTGGACAGCACGATCGCGAGAAACGCCAGAGAATATCGCAGCTTCGTTGTGCACAAGAGTTCTAGCTGCCACACAGGCATGTCGTGGCACCGTCGCTATCTTTGTATCCGTCGGACGACGCAACGTCTCTCTGTTGCTGTGGTAGCAAGCAGAGTGCTGACTGTCCAGTCAAGCATGTGATCATGGCAAGGCTGGTGCTGCTGGAAAGAAGTGTCTTGTCTTGATCGATACAGTCAAGCGCCAAGTTCAACTTGAGTCTGCGTCACTCGTTTCCACATGTCGTGTGCAGCCAACGCAAGTGCTTAGGTCTCGAAAACGCAGCTGCGCGTGTTCAAGCAGCCGGTCATACTTCCAATGTGGTCTTGCGTAATCGCTTCCGTGCATGCGAGCGACAACCGGTAACTTGCACGTGCTCACATTGGCACCACCGGAGTAATCTCCACTCGAGATGTCGGACATAAAGGATGTCAATACACCGAATGAGTATCTCGAACACTTTATCTCGACAATGCACTTGTACCCAGAGCGTGGTCGACCGGACGTATGACTTCACATCGGCCATTGCGAGTGCCTCGTCGTCAGTGCCTGTGAACCAACAAGCTGCGTGACAGCGCTTTTTGACTCTACAGACATGACTCGTACTGGGGCTATGAGCGTAGCCTTGGCAGGGTGCGGGATACGCTGTTGGCCTTTGACCCAGTCGCAACGTCGACTTACGGTTGCCCTTCCAGATCAACATCCTACTGTAGAGACGTCTCGGTTGTCATTGTGCACCCGTACGCAAATGGCCGAGTCAAAAGACGTGTAGGAAGCTGATAGTCAGGGCGTATACAAGGGCGCTCCCTTCCCTCACATATCCACCCCTACGTTGCCCACACGCTCGTCCGTGACGTGTCGCTTGCAGAGTCTTTTGGCCTCGCACCCGATAGCACGGCAGCAAAAGCGGACAGAGTACGCGTGAACACGCCTACTGTTTGTTCGCACAAGCTGCGAGGGAGAATAATGTGTTTGTGGTCGACGTAAACGTTTGCCGAGTGTGAGGTTCATCTACGCGACTCTACCTTCGCACAGCAGTGTCACTGGTCGCTGCAGACCTTGCAGCCGAAAACAGCCCAACGCTCGCCTTTTGCTACAAGGACATGTCAGCCTAAACATCGAAGCGTCCCGTCGACGAGTATGTCTTAGCGCTGGCTTCGGATGCGCTGTAAAGGATCTTTCCCTAGACGAGCAGAGAGAATCGGCCACTTTCACTGTTTGTCACCCGACGAAGCTCTCGAGTGAATCGTTACGACATCGTGTTGCGTCTTTTGTTTAGTTGCCGAGCACGAAAGGCGACCGATGAGGAATCCCGTTTGCATGGGCGTATGTGTGGCACAACTAAACAGTACCTTCCTGTGGCACTTTTTTGGCGGGACGACCCTGCCATGACGCGATGGTCCTGCGCACGCCACTTAAAGAAAAGCGTGTGTAACTCAACAACCTGTGGATGGGCGAGACCGGCACACGGACGGATCGTGCGAGACTTGCATTGATACCGCGAGGTGCTATCCACAGTGAGACACGTGGCAGAGGGCGATTCGTTGACTTGGTCAGTTCCAGTAGCAGCAGAGAAGCTCAAGTGTGCATTGAAGAATTCGATACCGATCGTTCTGGATGTGGTTCTGTCCTCTCCGAGCCGGAGCTGGTAAGTAGTGGCTCTTGTGAACGAACGTTCGTCTTGTTGAGATTGCTAGCGACACTACATGTAATCGACCGGGACGGGGCGTTAAACCCTACTGATCCTGTCTTGCTGTTTTCTATCGCTTGTGTTTGTGTTCGCTTTGGCAGTGCAGTGAACATTGGCTCGAATCGTACGTGCTCACATCGGGTGCAGCTGCAATATACCACGGTGATCAGAAGGCCAGTGGCACCGCTGTCGTCACGGATAGGGCAGTATTCTATTTGACAAAGGATGTTTTGCTCGCAAAAGTCTAATGACACGCGTCCTTCCTGGCATGCAACGGAACGTAACAGTGACAAATAGCAAGGCAGCATGACGTATACCTATACATTCGATCCTCTCACGCGGAAGTGATGATGGACAAAACAAACAAATAACGCGCATTTACGAGCGCAGAACATGCCGACTCCTGCACGTTGACCATAGCATGAGCAGCAAGTTGTCTCTCGTTCTGAACATATTACGCGATCAAATGTCGAAGTCATGAACACCGAAATGGGACTCCTGTCTTTTTCTTTTGCTCTTTGTCGACGGGAAGAAGCAAACGGCGCTTTACATCCTCTCGCGCTGGAATGCTCCGTCTGCAGTCGATCGGTACCTCCAAAGGCTGGCCGAACGCTCCATTGGCACGTGCGTGCACAGAATAGCGGTAGTAAAGAGCGGTGATGGCACGCGCGGGCGGGTGCTTCTTATTAGATAGGACATTACTCACACTACAAACGAGGCTGGCTTACTCGTGGCCAGGCCGTGCCTGATCCCGTCCAGCTCATGAACCATTTTTCCTCCCTGCAAACGCTCTGACGCGTCTGCCCGCGCTAGCGGCGTGGATAGCTCTCACACAACCGCAGCGGGCGGGAGACGTCTTCGACCTGGCGATGGATGAACGCGTTCTCGGGTGGGGCCACCGTCTCGTCGAACACGTCTGCAAACGTGGGGTCCCACCAGTCCTCGGCAAACGAGTTGCACATCGAGTCACCTGTAGTCGGCGAGACCTTCTTCTTCTTCTCGGGCGACACAAGGTCCAGCTCCCGCACGTGGAAGCTCGTCACGGACGAGCTGCGTCGAGAGAGGCGATGCAGCTGCCGCTTTGGCGCCGCTGGTCCTCCTTCGGTCGACGATGGTCGACCATTGCTGTCCGCCTCTTCGTCCTCAAACGTCCGAGCGTTCGCCTCAGTCACGTGGTCTTCATTCACCATCAAGAACTCCCGAATGAGGTCCAGCACTGGACATCGAATGTCCTCTTCCCCCTTTGCTTTTTTCTCCTTGTCGTCCCAAGCCAACGTCTCTGTCCCGTCGCAACTCTCTCCCGCTTCTTCGTCGCCCAGCAGTCCCTGTGTCGTCTCAAGGAGAAAGCGCATGTAGCCATTGAGCTCCTCCATCCTCGAGGCGTCCAGTCGCTTCTTGGAAAAGCGCAGACCTGACTGGAAAATGTGCCGATCGGGGAAGCGCACACTGCTGTAAAAGCTCCCGAGCTCCTCACAGGCGCTGCAGCCCGCGTGCCGCTTGTTGCTGCTATGTCTGGTACTAAAGTGGCGCCCCAGCGTCTCGTGCAGCGCGCGGAACTCCGAGTAGCGCTTGGCCACGTACCAGTCGGCAGTCCCACTGCGACTCACGCGGAGCACGTAGAGCGTCGGACAGCGTCGGGAGTACGTCTCGCGGCCGTACGAGACGATGTTGGCCGACACGGGGCGCAGCGAGCGCAGTTGGAAGACGGACGGGGGGCCGAACCGCGAGAGGGCGAGCGCCATGGGCATGGGAAGAGCTGTTCGCCTGTGTCGCGCAGGAGCTGTTGAGAAATGCTCAAGTTGAGGTACTGTAAAGGGGCGCGGGAGGTGACGCAGCCTCCTGCTCTATCCGAGGGGGCAGATGAGGAGAGAGAGGGGGAGGGCACAAACGGGACGCTGACTCGTACTTAGGACGAGCGAACGCATCATTCGCAGGAGGTGTCAGGGTTTAGGTGGAGTTGTGTATTGGGAGTTGTCGTGGGAGTGTAGGAGTGTAGTGGTGGTACTTGTTGTTGTTGCTGTTGTTGTTGCTGTTGTTTTGGTGCGGAGTTTACGTAAGCGAGAGAGAGTGTGTCGGTAGGGCGAGAGGGGGCGGCCTGTTGTAGTACGACGGCCAACTCAAAGAAGACCCGACTTGCGGGTAGTCAGCCGAAGCTGCTTTCGAAGTGCTGTCGCAGCGCATAGCGAATAGAGTGTACATGAATTGAAACACCGTCCGCCGAGGGCGCGATCTTTGCGATAATGACGTCGCGGGCCTCGGGACCCTCTCGTCGCCAACGATGACTCATAACTTCAGCCACCACCACGGCGATATAGCCGTGGCTAGGTCGTGAGCAGGTGATTACTGGTGGTTTGCACAGCGCTTGAAAAGCAGTGTCTCGTTTGTCATGATTTATTGTGCAGGGCGCTCGAACGCTGAAGAACTCGCTGGATGCGCTCTTAGTGCGAAAGTCCCCTGGCTCGGCTCCTGCTAGCAGCTCTGTTTGTCTTTCTGTTGTTCCATGCAACGGCTCGTACCACGGACGCTGCACATCATGGGTATGCTGACACGACGCGCGCAGCACCATGTGTGTCGAAAGCGAGCAAGCACAGAGCAGCCTGACTGACGTGCTAAGCTGTGTAGAAAGGAGGACAAAAACTAAGCGACAACGCACTCTACTACTGAACGTAGTCAGACGTCGACTTTTCTTCGCATTTCGTAAGGCCTTACCGGACGATGCAGTGTCTAACAGCAGTTCATTACACAATTTGCGTGATCAAATGCAAAAACTTTGCTCGGCGCTTACGCTGCTGCAAAAATAACCCGCTGCTGCAGTAGCACAAGACTTAAACGGAGATGTAATGAGTGCAGTGGGTGTCAACGGTGGCGTGATTGCAAGCGAGGCTAATGCACTTCAGACGCCGCGGCATGGTTACGCTGCCCTTCGTGCTGCAGTTTGTGGATTGGACTACTAAGAGAGCTGCTGTGTGTGAAGAAGGTAGGCCGCTACACAAAATTGAAGAAGCATATACATTAGTAAATATTCTTGTACGATAGGGTGGGAAGTGTGTAATAGCGTTGTTTGAGATGCATATAAAGATCTACTGCCCGTTCTAATATCGGCCATATTATTTGCATACATCCACCAATTATAATAATGAGACGCACAAAATAAATGGTAAGCTATTAGTCATTCAAGAAATCGATATTTATAGTCGGATCGAATTCGAACCAAATTTTTGATTTCAATCATGTAGATACTATAACTATTTATCGACATCAACGAAAAGCTAAATTTGATTGCTTGATGCGCTTTTGTCACCGGCGCAATGCTTAAGGATTGTAAAAATGTCCCATGACGTCAACATCTATGTTCTAGTCAATGATACTAGCGATGCAGGATGTAACATCGACATTGTAATTTCAAGAATAATTCCGAGAAACGGGCCTTCCCAAGCATTTTGTTGCAATATGCAGCACCAATCGAAGACAATGCTCATTATTGATGTGAGACATGACACCCATAACACTCCAAAAAGTAATAGCATCCGCGAGGACTGATTGGTAAGCCAGGTCGTTCGAAAATACTGTTTATGACAGATCATAAAGGTTCTATAGGGTCAAGTGCAATACCAGTTACATGTAATTTCTGACCTCACCTGCTAATCTTTCAATTGTCATCTTGGCGGATGGCATATGGAAAACGGACGCCATGTGGCGTATTGGCACACTAGTGGGGGATAGATGGATATCATGTGCGAATTGCCATGGCCAAGTGACAGTGCCGTTGGTCGATGCAGGTTGTAGTGTTGACAAATTAGCCCAAATAAAGCTAGACTCAATAACGTTTGCTTCCTGCACTCCTTCCACGAACGCAACTACTACTGAATACAACTCCCTCTATTTCAACATGTTTGTCCCATTTCAACAAAAAACTAAAAAAATATGGTAATTTTTATCGATTGATTGGCTAATGCACCTCAAAATAAAGCCGATTTTAACTCTTTCAGTCAGTGTTGTCCGTGTATTCATCCTGTAACTGGAAACCGAGAAATCAGTACCTGAAAGTCCATCATTTTTACAGGTTTTTGCACCGACGCTGATTGCGGAGCCTCCAGGCCACCAATTGTCACGCTTGACAGCTCTAATAATAGCTTAGAAAAGGTCTAAAATCTCTATCTATGCTCGGAAAGCTAAATCGCCTTGACAAATAGTAATAGACGCCTAAATGAGACGCTTTTTAGGCCGATTACACGCAAATTTGCCTGTATAATTTTAACTCTTTTTGATTGGTTTTAAATGCATGTATCGTTTTAAACAGTGAGCATTATTGCCTGTTTGCTAGTCATGCTGTCATTGTCGAAGAAAGGTACAAACCCAAACGCTGTTCGAAGAACCTCTCAGACCTCGAATGCACTGGTATAACGTGTACGCTCCTTCAGTCTGCTGGTGCGAACATAAAGGTAAGTCATACCGATTTCAAGTTAGTGGCGCTAACATATGCGTGTTCTGTGAAGTCAAAAATGAGGGTATGGGAGCGCGGTAGCGACAATATGGCCCGCTCATCGGACATCCTAGATGTTAGATCCAAAGTTAAAAATAAGATACGCAAAGAAAGGATTAATTCGTATACATTTTACAAGAAAGTGGAGGCTGCGCCGAATCGTAAGAGATACACACTGCGCTTTTTGGCACATGTTAAGGGAGTATCAGCCTCTACGCTTTGTAAGATGCGCCAGCGCAATGACATCATGGCGACGACCAACGCTATCCAATTCTTGCTGAAGGAGGAGAACAAGCGCGCGCGAATTGCTTTAACGTTCGTTTTGTCGACGAATCGATACTTTCCACTCCACGATGTACGAAGTAATTCATCTCGACGATAAATGGTCTTACATGACACGAGCGTCCCAGAGGGTTTACCTGTCTCCTAACGAGCCGGCGCCACTCCGGTATGTACGTTATCTATTTAATATTTCAAACGGATGTGCGTGCTAATACGAGTGACCTTATGTGTAATGTTTTTTAGATGATATAAAAGCAAGCGGTTTATCGGTAAGGTGATTTTTTAGCAGCAGTCGCCAGGCCGAGAAATGACGCTGCCAGTAGTACTTGGTTTGATGAAAAGTTGGGTATCTGGCCTTCCGTAGAACGGACGGTCGCGCAGCGGACGATCAAGAATTGAATAGTTTGACACTGTTATACACAAGGCAGTAACTGCCGTGAGGAGAGAGGAGTACGTCGATATGTTGCTGGACAACGTCATCCCTTCGACCGCCGCCGAGTTTCCGCGTCGAAGCCAACGCGGAGCTATTTATGTACTCCAGGACAACGCGCAACTTCACTTCAAGGAAGATGACCCGCTCGTGCGTGAGGCTGGCCGCCAGTTGCGCCTGGACCTACGCGTATTGTTCCAGCCTCCTAATAGCCCAGACTTTAATGTGATAGGCTTGGGCTATTTTCGATCAATCCAGACACTACAGCATGAATTGGAGCCTCTTAGCTACGCCGATTTGGTAAAAGCAGTCCAAAAGTCGTTTATCGATTTCAAGATAGAAAAAATAGAAAAAGTATTTCTTTCGCTGCAGTCGTGCATGACTGCAGCAGTAAAATACAATGGATTTAATGCCTATGAGCTATCACAATCAAAGAAGGCAACTCTTCGTCGACATGGAGATTTTGCCCGTTTGCTTAGTTACCCCCTAAGGTCGTACGACATGTACATTTTCCCCGGTCGTTTAGTTTCCCCCCGAGCTTGTACGACATGGCAGGTTCTCTCTTTGCCATTTCAAAGTAATACATGTATTTTCTCTTTTTCCTTTATATTAACCTTGACGAAACGAAAAAATATTGTATGACAAAAAATCGCTCGATTTGAGACAAGATCTTTTCAACAGATGAAGTAATCCAGAATTCAACACCTGTATTCCAATATTCGCGCATACCATCAATTCCTTCTAACTTATAAATGTAACTTTGAGACTACTCCCAAAACGAAAAGCGGCGTTTTACCCTTTTTCCGCCCCAAAAACTATTCCATCTGTCTCTTTACTGACGTGTCATTATGTCGAAAGCGTTGTTCATATACAGAGATAGCAAGCCTTGAAAGCAGCTCCGTGCGTCCTTCGTAGTTGTCGGGTCGGTTTATCAGACTTTCGATGACCCGAAGGTGTGCGGTATGCGATGTACGACAAGAGCTCACGAAAGAATCTTTCGATCGTAGGTAATGCGATGAGGAAACGGCACGGAAAGACTTGTCGGCATGTTCGTGAACGATCCGTCGCAGCGGGTACCGCGGGCGAAGCAAAGCGTTGGACACACCGGGGATTGAACCCGGGGCCTTCCGCTTGCAAAGCGGACGCGCTACCACTGCGCTATGCGCCCGCAACATCCACTGGTTTAGTTTACACTTTTCACACGCTATATTGACTCACACAACCACGGTATACACTCCAACGAGATCATTCAGGTGCTGTCCGTCAATACACATCACCTGGCACTCAAGTATTGCCATGATCAGCCAACTGAACATGACCACGATATGTCGCTTGCACAATCGCGATCAGCCGGTTGCTGCGGTCATGCTTTCGAGAATAGAGCAACAGAGATGCGAATGAGCCGATGCCGAATCTCGTGAAAGGTATTCGCTATTTGTTAAATGACGTAGTTGACGTGAAGACGAGCGATCAACCAAGTACTTGTGACTTCGACTTGTGACTTCGATTTCTGACTTCGAGACTGATCCCAAAACGAAAAGCGTCGT